TTCTCCTTTTTTACTTTAGTTGATCCCTCTATTGAACTCTGTAGACCCTGGTAACTATGGATCTGTAGTTCCATCTTTTGCTGATACTTTGCGTGTGGCAAATGATGAAGAAGGCAGTTATCTCAGATTTCGGTAATTTTACATACTTCCTGTGGAAGGTGGGATATGGGCTGTAATCTTAATTCTTGCACGTGTTGAAGTTCGATCATACTAATTGAATCTTGTGTCTGTCTCTGTACTGCCCTGTGACCTACTAATATCTTCCTAATAAGGATGACATTTTTATTTCCCATTTCTCTTAATGTAGGCCTAGGAAGGAATGATATTAAAAGGGTGTCAAAATCATTATGTCCATTTTTAGGAGAAAGCTGTTTCCTCTGCTAGATACCATATTTGGTTATTTTTTACATATTTAGCCAAAACTTAAATAGTGTTTACTGTGTACCAGGCAACGATGTTAAATAAATATATTTGAAATTTGAATGTGTTACTGTTCGGGAGTACTAACTTAAGTGTTAGTATATTCAGATATAGGCTATAAACACAATAAGGGTCAATTATCCAAATATTCTGGCTAAATTTATTATGTATCAAAGTGGTTTATCAATTAAAAAAAATTAGAATACCATAAACGTATCCCTGACATAATGCTTAGTATAAGGCCATTCAGTACCATATATTCAGAGTATGTAGAATTTCTAAGTAAATCAACTTTATTTCTAAATAAATCAATTTGTACTGTGTTTAAACCAATTAGGTAGAACAGTTACAAGACAATTATTTTTGTTTTACAGTGTAAAAGCAAGACTTGTTCCTTCATTCACTGACCACTTACTGGTCACTTATTAAAGGCAACTGTTCTGTTCTAGATATTGAGAATACAAAGTTACATAAGCTGTTGTACTTGTCCTCAGTGAGTCTGGAGACAATGATGAGATAAAGAGAGCTACTCTGATTTTTGTTTTTGTGTCTTTATTCCTCTTTGTCTGAAAGAATTTATTTCTTTGGGGAAATTCCACCTCCCCCCTCAGTTTTTCCTTCCTTCTACCCACAGAAATAGCATATGGAAAAATGAAGAAGAGAAGAAAATGGAATTTTTCCATCCTTTGCCACCAGTTTGGAATCCATTGCTGCCTGCTCCAAGACAGAATAAACGGACCAAAATCGATGGGCCTGTAAATGAAGCTGCAATTAAAAAAATAGCTGCCCTCGAAGATGAGCTGACTTTTCTTCGCACTCAGATCGCTGCAATTGTGCAAATGCAGGAACTGAAAAACCGTGCAAACGCTGGTGAGTGCCATGCTGCGTTCTGTCTTAGTTAGATGGTGCTCACCTACCATTTCATTTCAGTCAGTAGGGTCCCAAATGAGAGCATCAGATGCTAATGTGTCTTGTGAATGACATTAAATATGTCGAGGATATCAAGGGTGTAATATTGCTATGTCTGATGTTTATGTAGAATAAATGGAGACACATTTGTGGTGAGGGGCATGGCTTTGGTTCCAGCTGTACTGCTGTAGATTGTACTTTTGTATTGAAAAGCTGTTTTCTAAGTAAACTTTTCTAACTCTTCAGAAAAGCATTGATATTTATGAGGAAGAATATATTAATTTGAAAGAAGATGAATATAAGGTCTTCATGTATTTGTAGTTTGAAGTTATTGCTGCTGTTCTTTCACTAAATTCAGGTTGAATAATGTTTTCCAGATGATCCTTTTCTAAATTTTTAGAGATGTGACTGGTTTTAAACAACATACACCCACATACATAATATATACATGTATCTGTACACATCCATATACACACATATAATTTATATATAACATGAAATGTTTATACAGTATTGTATCTTTATGTATTTTATGCATAAATATTATACATATTGATATATAATAATAGCAATTAAAATGAAATATACACACACATTATTTTTAACCAGTCGTGTTAAAAAGTCTTTTGGGAGCAAATCTGTTGTGAAAAAGTTAAGTACTCAGTATCCGTCCTAGGCCTTGCCTAGAAAATATATGCTTGGGCATTTCTACAGTGTCATCATAGAGTGAATATACCAGTTTGAATGTTTCTAACTACGAATTGTTGATTGTGTTTTAGCTTTTTTAAATAGAGGATGAAATTCAGACTGTATGTTAATTACTGAAAAAGCACTTTTTGATTTCTTTTTAAAATGCATTCTCACCCTTCCTCCCTTTAAAGGCCTACCCAGAAAATCCTAATTGGATTAAAAATAAGCTTATTCTTTGGTTTGACTCTTATAAAAATTACTAAGCAGATGGGATTGCTTCTTTTTCCTGGCCACATCGTTATTTTAGTAGCATTACCGAAATTGTTCCTTTTTTGTTTCTAATTAGTGTTATGTGTTCTGTTGGAGAGAATTTTGCATGATTTTTTCAACAGACTACTTTGTTTTTAGGCCTCTTTGACTTGAACAGCGAACCTAGCAGATTGGGACAAAGGCCATCGCCAGGAACTGCTGAACTGAGTGTCAAACCAGATCCATTTTCAAGTTCAGTGTTCTTCCCTCCACCTGCTCCTCCTCCTCCAGTGCCCCCTCAGCTTTCTTCTCCGCAACGTCCGTGTTCGCTCACATGGCCAGGAACTAATAATACATGTAACTCAGATAACTCAGCAAATGAAGTGAAAAGACAGCAGTCAGGTGATAGTAAGACTAATGACAGTCATCGTTCGAAAAGCCAGGAAAATAAAGATGTTCCGAATATGTTGGACATTCTAAAGGATATGAATAAGGTTAAGCTCCGTGCTGTGGAACGGTATGTTGTCATAACTTGAGAAATGAATCAAAATTCTATTAGTGATGTTGTAATAATTTATTATATTTATCAAAGTAAACATAGACAGGTCTTCTCTCTGATTCTTCTTCATTCCAAACGCTTCTCCCAGAAAGAATCATTTTCAATTTTTTTTTACTGTTTCTTTTAGTGTCTTATCTCCATAATTTTGGAACAGTGTACTACTTCCTTTTGCTATTTCTTGATATTTTAACTATATTTATTTCCGCTTGTTAAAACTCAGGAGTATATCCTTTCAGACATTCTGCCGCCTAACATGTACACATAAATACACTTCTTATTCTGTCTTCCCCATATAGTTAAATCCATCGTCTTTACTTAAATCAGTATTCAGAATTTACATCCTTATAACAGTAAACATTCACAGGTAAGCCATTTCCTTATGCTATGATTACATTTTGCTTGTTGAATAATTTTATTTTTTATTGCAGCTAATAATTGTCTCTCTGAGTTTCTTTCTTTTTCTTTTTAAAATAATTTCCCCTGTAGGAGCTCTCTGTTCTGCTCCACTGTCTTGTTCCCCCAAGCCTGCTGCATTGTTACCATGCCAAGGATTTCCTTGGCCATCATTATGGCATTCTCTACCCTGTCTCTTGTGTTGCCTCACCCATTTCTTGGGTGTCCTATCTTCCCATACCTTTCTGAGAAAGGGTCTATAAAAAAGATTATTTTAAGGCTTTGCATATCTGAAAATTATGATTTTATTCTAACACTTCATTGCTAGTTTGGCTGGGTATACAACAGGCAGAAAACCATTTTTCCACAGAATTTTGAAGACATTGTTCCATCAGTTTTTAGCTTCTGTTCCTGTGGAGAAGCTGATGTCATTCTCATTCCTGGCTATGTATCAAATCTATTTTCCTTATTCTTGAAACATTTAAGATCTTCTCTTTAGTCCTGGTTTGAAATTTCATAACGATGTTCCCTGGAGAGTTCCTTTTTTAATTTCTTATGCTGGGCACTTGGGGACTCAGTCTTGAGTTTTACATTTTATTCAGTGTGTAGACTTTTCCTCAGTCCCTTCAGGGGAGCCCCTTCAGGAAGGCAGCTCACCCTCCACTATCTTCACTGTCTTCCAGTGTTTTGTTGCAGTTCTTACCCACTCTCTCGTAATTTCTTTGTCTTTGTGGGTATGTATTTTTTTAATTTCTTTACTGTCATTTTGGTAGGATTTCACAGAGATCTGCCGTGTTCATCTGGAAATCCCTCAATGAGGTTTTTAGTGAGAAAATATATTTTCTGTATAATAGTGTTAGGGCAGACACATCATTTCATTATTAATGAGGGTATGATTTGACCCTTGTGTGAGGAAGCTGATACAGAGAAGAATGTGGCTGAATGTGCACACTTGTTCCAGCTAGAGGGCTTATTGGCATCACTGGGCCCAGTCAGTGTAAGACAGTGACTGACTGTTACCATAACTGGAGACACAGCTAGGAGGCTGGTAGAGTCTCCCTTCCACCCCCAGTATCTCATTTTTCTACAACTAACCGTGCATTATACATTACTACAGAGTCAGATAAGATTTGCCACATCTTCACAGTTACAGTCACTGTTCGTGTTCTCTGCCTTCTCTCTTGTTACTGTGAATGGAATGCCATTGCTCATGTCCAGGCTCTCCCCTTGGTCACTAGGTCTCCTTTTCTCTTATCTTCTCAAGGATTTTACCTAAAATTATCCCTTCTGTCTTCTACATCATCAAATTTTTCTTCTCTACTTTATTCTCCCCATACCTGAGTATTTACCATCTTCAAAACATGTATATCCCCAGCTATTATTATTTCTCTGCTTCTCTTTCTGATATAAATTCTTCTCATCAGAACTTTGTTTGCATTTCTCACCGCCTTCTTCTACCCACTGTAATATGGTCTCTGTCCCCATCACTCCACTGAAAACTGTGCATTGTCAAGGTCACCAGTAATGCTGGTACTAAATCTAATGGTCAATTCTTATTGTTCCTCTTACCTGACGTCTTGGCAGTATTTGGTACTGTCTGTGGTCCCTTCCTCCTTGGAACACTTTCTTCCTTTGGCTCAGACCTCAGTCCCCTTCTCTCTGTATCCACATTGTTTCCTTTGGTGATCTCACCTAGTCCTATGGCTTAATGAAAACCTGTTCTGCCCTAAGTCTTTTGCATCTCAGTAAAGGCAACAACACCATCATCCAGTTGTTCAGTCCAAACATCTAGGAACCAGACTTCCTGGTTTCTTGGTTTTCTTTTTTTTTTTTTCTTCTTTTTTTAATGTTTATTTTTTTGTGGGGGAGAGAGGGAGAGAGAGGTGGGGAGGGGGGAGGGCAGGCAGGTAGAGAGAGATGGAGCACAGAATCTGAAGCAGGTTCCAAGCTCTGAGCTGTCAGCACAGAGCCCTACGTGGGGCTTGAACCCACGAACTGTGAGATCATGACCTGAGCCGAAGTCAGACGCTCAACTGACTGAGCCACCCGGGTGCCCCATCGGTTTCTTGGTTTTCTAATTCCTAATTCATTGTGCCTTCCAGATTCCTTATTCCTTGGCAAAAATTTTCAATCTCTTGAAGAATAATTAGATTGTAATTTATTATGCTTGTATTTCTGGCATGTTTGTCAACAAGGAGCTTAAATTAATTACACAAGGCTTTAATTCAATTTTTTTTTTTTTTCTTTAAATAGGTCACCTGGAGGTAGACCCATTCATAAGAGGAAAAGACAAGATTCACACTGGGATCCAGTGTCTTTAATATCCCATGCACTTAAACAGAAATTTGCATTCCAAGAAGATGATTCCTTTGAGAAAGAAAATAGGTCTTGGGAGTCTTCTCCATTTTCTAGTCCAGAAACTTCAAGAGTGAGCTATAATAACGTAAAGTTAATTTTTTAATTTTTCAAAAGCGTATTGTCCATGATGTATCTCTGCCTTCAAGTTCTCTTGAAGTTCTTGCGCAGAATGGACCATACAGTTATTTGCTGGTACCGCTAACGTTTCTGTTGTTTCTGTTAACTTTTACATGCTCCTTTTTTGCTTGTACCTTACTATGAATTTTTTTTTAAATAAAACACTTGATTTGAAAAATACTTGTGCATAAGTTTATAAAGGCTTGTCCTGGACGGGTGCTAACTTGATGTTGCTGTCTGCTGTATGAACGAAGTCTGAAACTTAAGTACTCCAGTATTTTTCTCAGGCGAATATAAAGACTGGATTATTTAGTTAAATAGAATGTTAACAGTGCTCTTTGAAAAGCAAATGGGATCATAATTACCTTCAATGACAATGCTTCTTGGTTGCTTAAAAGGACATTTTCTATATTTATATTTGACCCTTGAAATTGCTCCTTATTTGAAGTGTCTTTGATTTAGACATAGCTTTAATTTGGGGGTTGGTTTTCCCATATCACAGCTCAGTTGAGGTAGTAGGTACAGAAGAATAAGCCTTCGGAATGAGAGGGTTGGGAGGGAGGCTGGGGTCTAACGGCAGGTGCATAGCTCTGAGGAGTGGGGGGTGGGGGGTTCAGCAGTGGACACGGAACAACTGGAAAGCAGATAGCAACTCAAAGAGCATAACAGAGTGGGGGAAATTGTCCCACTTGTGTTCCAGCACGGGCAGGGCTGTCTCTTGAGTTACTCGTGGGTGTGTTCATCATGTTGACTCTGGACATTCTTAACTGTAAGAGGGCCAGAAAGTATGGTTTACTTTAGAATTATTACAATCAAAAATGCCAATGTGCCTGAAAATAAACATTTGACATTTGTGTAGAAATGTATAACTTGCCATGTACCTTTCTGCACGCCTCGTTTGATCTTCACAGCAATGTCCTAAAAATAAAAAAGCATGAATAAGTCAGGCCAGTATCACCTGACCCTCAGAGTGCTGAAATAATCTGCCTGTAACCCCACATTGGATTGGCAGAGCAGTGACTAGAGCTGGGTTTATTAAAATTTTGGATATCTGAAAACCTTCAGTTATGTAAGCTGTTCGCCGTGTGGAACATATTTCCCAGTGATGGTGGATAAGCGAGGAGGTTCTGGGTTGTCTTACACTGTTCAGTGTTCAGCATTTTATCTCCAACCAACTACAAGCAGTTTAGAGAAAGAACCATCTCTTTTTGTATATTTTACGGCACCTCGCTGAGGGCTGGACACACGGGGACTCAAATTGTAGTTGACTGGGCATTCAGTCTCTGCAGCTGAGACTCCTCACTTGTGTGTGCTCAGCTCTGGGCACAGTGCCCGAGAGACACATAGTCCTGTCTCAGAGGACTATTTATTGTTGGATGGATTAAACCTCCAGGAGTTGTTTGGTCATTGCATTATCATCTGCTTTTACCTGAGAATAATTTCCGGGTTGAACGTTTGCTTTATTTCAGTTTGGCGTCCCATTTCACAGAACAGTGAACTAAAGGAAGAACTGACAAACCCCAAAGACGTTGACCAATGTGTGAACAATGTCAGCTGAGTCTACACTGGCAAGGAAAGGTCGCTGAAGTGTGCCCGCGTGCCTTTCACTACATGCTGAAGGATCTCAGTCCGTTAACAAAGTTGAATGAAGTCTGTGCACTGGAATATATCAGTGCAGGGGTCTAAACAGTCTTGACTCATAAGAACACCTGTCTCTGTTCTTGGAAGATCCAACAGGTAACTGGCTACTCACGGTAGTGGTTAGGTGTATGGCCTTCTTTCTGCATGTATATTGCTGTTATTAAAAGCTGAATGCACGCTTTGGATGATTTTCCTAGGAGCTATGTAGTAAATGACTTAATGTTTCTCATTAGAGAACAGTAGGGTCCCACCCTAGGGTAATCATTTTAATAGAGTAAGAAATTAATGTAAACTGGGGCACTTTAATAGATTAAGAAATTAATGTAAACTGGGGCACCTGGGTGGCTCAGTCGGTTAAGGGTCCGACTTCAGCTCAGGTCATGATCTTGCGGTTTGTGAGTTCGAACCCCACGTCGGGCTCTGTGCTGACAGCTTGGAGCCTGGAGCCTGCTTCGGATTCTGTGTCTCCTTCTTTCTGCCCCTCCCCCACTTGTGCTCTGTCTCTCTCTGTCTATCAAAAATAAATAAATGTATAAAAAAATTTTGTTAAAGAAATTAATGTAAACTAAGTATATATTGTAGTACTCAGCAAATGATAGTATATTTCGATTTTTTTTTTAAACATTTATTTTTAAGAGAGAGAGAGACCGAGTGTGAATGGGGGAGGGACAGAGAGAGAGAGAGAGAGAGAGAGACCCAGAATCCGAAGCAGGCTTCAGGCTCCAAGCTGTCAGCACAGAACCCAATGTGGGGCTTGAACCACGAACTATGAGATCATGACCTGAGCTAAAGTTGGATGTTTAATTGACTAAGCCACTCAGATGCCCCTGGATGTTTAAAATCAATTTCTTTTTTTTTTTTTTTTTTTTTTTTTTTTTTTTTAATTTTTTTTTTCAACATTTATTTATTTTTGGGACCGAGAGAGACAGAGCATGAATGGGGGAGGGGCAGAGAGAGAGGGAGACACAGAATCGGAAACAGGCTCCAGGCTCCGAGCCATCAGCCCAGAGCCTGACGCGGGGCTCGAACTCACAGACCGCGAGATCGTGACCTGGCTGAAGTCGGACGCTTAACCAACTGCACCACCCAGGCGCCCCTAAAATCAATTTCTTAAAAGCATTTATGACTTCCTAATTTAAGAGTTTTTGAATCTTAGAAATTGGTAGTGATCTGGTTTACTTGACCTCCAGGAACTTGGAGATTTTCGAAGAATACAAAATATAATTTTTTCATTAGAATAGTTCTAGTCTGAATCATATAGCTTGAGTCTCCTAAAAATTCCTCCTGAGGTGATAAAGCATTATTCTTAGAAACTGACTTTGTTAGAAGCAGAAATATTTAAAGAATCTTGGTAAGTTTTACCTACACGTCTATGTAAATATGAATGCCTATCATTTTACTTCCTTTTTTCCTTTTTACATTGATACTCTGTACTTTTGTAAATGTGGTTTTTGAACTTGGTTGTGTTTTGTAGCAAATCAAATTCATGTTTTCTCCTTACTGTGTCATAACCGTCTGAACCTTTTTATTTTTTTGAAAGAGTTTTGAAGGGAGAATGCCTTGGGTAATAAAAATGAAACACATGTATGCTTGGAATAGGTATTTTATTCCTCTTCATTCATATACTACAGAGATGTGGACACTTACATGTTCCCCTAGATTCTTTAGCCTACACAACAGCTGGGAGCCTAGGTTCCATTTGAATGGACTCGGCACTTACCCATTTTGCCAGATTCCTCCCCTTTCAGAAAAGCCTGGTTTGCCCGGTTTTCCTGTTGCTGTGCTAGACAGTTCATTGCCTGGCTCTGACATCACAGAGTTGTTGAGCCAATACTCCTAGCAAGGGCTATCTGCAGACTTCCTGTTATTTGAGAGACATAAGAAAAACGGGCCTTCTGGATTTTCTGTTACTTGCAGTCCAAAGCATTCATGACACAGCAAGTGCAGCAGGGTAGCTTTGACACTTGTCTGTCATTCCTTCTATGTAGTTTTCTGATACTTCTTATCCTGTTATCAGCTGTCTGCTCTTGCCCCTCATGTACATTTCCCTCATCTGCCTTTTCTCCTCCATTGTCCTTGCAGTTAGAGGGTTTTTTCCCTCTGAAATAACTGCTTTTTAACCCCCAAGGGAGTCTTGCGTTTTCAGTTTTATAGTTTCCTTACTCAAAAATACATAACGAACAATCAATCCTTCCTCAACAACTAGGAGAAGAAACCTTTGGAAGATGCCATCCTCTGCCAAGGGAAGTACGTTTCTTGTTAGACTTCAAGGTGATTTTATGGGGGGCGGGGGCAGGCTTTTCTGTTCTATTTCAGGATGAATTTCCTACCTACCCAAAGCACATTTCTGCACCATGACACGGGGATTCAGTTGGCCTTGGGCTTCCCTCTGTTCGGAAGCATGACTTCTGGTGTCCTGGAAGTCATAACCACATGCCCTGAAATCCTTCAGGAAACCTCCCAAAGGGCCCACACTTGGGCTTCTGGTGACTGGGGTTTACTGTGGAGTTCCTGAGGCTCAGGGATTCTGTGTAAGCCTTCATGAACCCTGTACATCCATGATCTAATACTGTGTGTTATTTATAAAATCATTTGCTTACCTCATAAACTTGCCTAAACATGCCATGAATGCTGAAACTCTTCTTACAAATTATATAAAGGCTACCTTAATTTCCTGACTGAAACACTCTCCCACTTGCCCTAGAAGAGACCCTCTCTCTCCCTCTTCCCCAGATGCCTTAAACTGGGTTGCATTCTTCCCAACTGGCTACTAGTCAATCCTATAACGTGTTTGAGCAAGGGTATTTGATGAAGGATTTTAACACGGAAAATGAAGAAAAAGTGTTGGTTTTATAACAGAGACCATAGGAATTTAATACTGCTCAGAATCTTGCCTGGTTGAGACGTGCCGATGACGGCAGTGGTGCTGGTGGGGGCAGCGAGGCGAGAGGCTTCGCAGGGGTGTGCCGCAAAATCTGGGGCCCCAAATCAAAACCAGTGGCAGGGGACCATTGTGGGGAGTGAGGTATCTATCAAAGGGCCTTTGCTTTTACAATGCGAGTATCTTTGTGTTTTAATTAGGAAGTTTAAACAGGAATTGGGTTGGGGGAGATGCAGCTATTTATATGATCGCAATAAGGAATGAGGATTTCTGCTGGATATTAAGCAGAGGCCCTCCTTAGATTGGAGAGGTTGAGTGTGTAATTGGATTTGTTTCAAATTGGAAACAAAACCAAACACTGGTCAGTGGAATGAAGTATAAGATTTTCGTATCAGGAAAGGGCTGTTACAAGTGGGGTTCTCTGTAGACTCAGATGTAGGGAGTCTGTCTAGGGGTTCTCAGGA